AGTGCGAGGAACTTTAAGCAGATTAAGATCCCCACTCCTCAGAGCCCGCACAGGGGTGTAGGGTTGGATCAGTTCTCTAATGTAGGAGGGAGCTTGTCCATGCAGGGCTGTGAAAACCAAAACCAAAATCTTAAACTTAAACCTAAAAAACACAGGCAGGCAATGAAGTTCCTTTAGGATGGGGGGTATGTGAAAACTCCTATTCGTGCGCGTCAGCATTCTTGCAGCAGAGTTCTGCACTAGTTGCTGACAATGGAGCTCCTTCTTGTTCAGACTAGAAAATAAACTTTACAATAGTCTAAACGGGGTGACACAAAGGCATGAATGAGGAGCTCCAAATCATTCCTTGACACCATACGTCTAAGCTTCGAGATGTTCCTGAGTTGAAAAAGCAGTTTCTCGTTAGCTGCTTACAGTGCTGCACAAAAGACATTTCACTGTCAAAGATGACTCCTAAATTTCTAAGGCTTAACTTCACAGATTGGCCCAAATCACACAGGTACTGCTTAATCTCCGGGACAGAACCAGCAGGGGCAACAACCAGAGTTTCTGTTTTGTTAGCATTTAGCTGCAGGGAATTTTCATTAAACATTTCTTTATCTCCACTAAACAATGGAGCATAGAGTCTAACTTTTTCAGCTCAGATTGCTTAAAAGAGCAGTATAGATGATTGTTATCAGCTAATAGGTGGAATGAAACGTCACTAAACATTTGAATGATCTTACCCAAAGGGGTCAAATACAACAAGAAAAGAACAGGACCCAGGACGGAGCCTTGGGGCACTCCACTCAACAATTCTGCAGATTCTGACCTTATTTGGTTTGCTGTAACACTAAAGCTATGTTCTGATAAATAAGAAGAGAGCCACTGAAGGACTGTCCCTGATAGTTCAATTTGGTCCCTCAGTCTCATCAGCAGAACCTGATGATCAACTGTATCCAAGGCTGAAGAAAGGTCCAAGAGAACCAGAACAGTGCATTTTCCAGAATCAGCTGCCATCATAATGTCACTGGACACTTTCAATAAAGCTGTTTCTGTATAATGATGTTTATGGAAACCAGACTGAAATGGCTCAAGGATGTTACTTTGGTTGAGGAAGGTAGACATCTGTTCATAGACCACCTTCTCAAGAATCTTAGAAAGAATCGGAAGCTTGGAAATAGGTCTATAGTTGCTAAGGTCAGTTGGGTCTAAAGTGGAACATTTGACCTGCTGCGTTCTGGTTCTGCTGCTGGGCTGTGACCCACAGACGTGCTTTGAGCTGCTCTTCACAACTTGTCAGCATGCTGAAAGTGAGCTGCGCTGATCATGGGATCCAGCTCTGAGATAATGCTCAGATGTTCTGATGGGAATCTTCTTTTGAAATATTTTGTTACCTCTGCGATGTTCTCTGTGCGTAATGTACTTTGAAATATCTGCACACCTGTATGCGTCAGGGTAATTCCAGTCTCAGAATGACCAACAGCCTTGAGATTTCTCCATCAAAATTAACATTCAAACACGGGAAATGTCCAGTTAACGTGACTCCAGCCTACATTTAATTTTTTGCCTTCTTGTGAAGGTAGCATGGCAGCCCTTCACACAACAGGAGCGGACCATTTTCTGCAAGTTTATAAGCTCACAACAACACAAAGCGACCTGTGCTTCCTTTGTTTATACACCTAGCTATACCATCATGCAACATGCTAGCACCCCATATGTCAAGGACCGATATAATTCAGTAATCTACAGATGAATAAAATAATGTGCTGCCAGTTTTACCACTGCGTGTATGTATTGAAATAACGCTGCAAAATATTTAACCAATAGGTTACCAGAATACATCTTCCTGATGCTGGAGTAACCCGTTAGATTGACTCGCTTGTACTAATCCTGTAAAGAGTTTTCTGGAGACCCGGAATTTAGCTACACACAGGAGTTACTGTAAATATATATGGTAAATGGCCTGTATTTGATATAGCTCCTTCTAGAGTCCTGGAACCCCTCAAGGCGCTTTACAACACAGTCATTCACCCATTCACACACACATTCACACACTGGTGGGGATGAGCTACTATGTAGCCACAGCTGCCCTGGGGCGCACTGACAGAAGCGAGGCTGCCGAGCACTGGCACCACTGGTCCCTCTGACCACCACCAGCAAGCAACGTGGGTTAAGTGTCTTGCCCAAGGACACAACGACAGCAACAGACTGAGCGGGACTCCAACCTACAACTTTCCGATTTTGGGGTGAGCACTTAACTCCTGTGCCAGTGCCGCCCCTATATAAAAAAAGATACTTTATTAAAGGAGTAAGGATTTGGGCATGATCAGGGTTTCTGCAGCTAAGCACTGTTGGAGGAGTCAGTGTAGAGGGGAAATGTGGTAGAGGCAGAAACAGGGGAACGTTGGCTTGGTTGGAGAGTTCCCAGGATGTTCCTTTGACAGAAAACTTCCCTCCTCTTCTGTCTGTGAATATGTCTCGTCTTCTGTGACACAGATAAATGTTTTTATCCACCATGAATAATACTCAATCATAGGCAGGGCAGGTATATATATATATATATATATATATATATATATATATATATATATATATATATATATATATACATACAGGAGTAGCAGACTAGGATCAGAAGCCGTGGTTCAGAACAGGGTCGGAGCCCAGAGGTCAGAGAAGCAGTCAAATCCTTTAAGGGCTAGGCAGAGACAATCCAGGGACGTGAACGTGGTACAGTGTTTGGTGGATCAGAACAATGAATTGCTGGAATGCTGAGACAAAAGGCAGACAAACTGACAGAGAAGCAGAGATCACTGAGGGTTTAAACAGAGGAAAGAACAGGTGTACTCCATGAGTTTATCAGGCAGAACTCAGGTGAACTAAATGGTGCTGATTAGTGCAGGAAGGGCAACCAGCATGACAGGCAGAATGAGGAACATGAATCATCATTACAAATCCGGGATGGCACGTAGGTTCTAGCGGTCCCAGGAGGATATGCTGTTGAAATATGGAGATCATCTTTTAGATCAGTGGTTCCCAAACTCATTTAGCCGCGCACCCCCTTCTATGTCCCGACCATGTCGACGCCCCCCCCCCCCCCCCCCCCAGCCCCCACATCGGGGCATGGCTATATATATATATATATATATATATATATATATATATATATATATATATATATATATATATATATATATATATATATCAGATGTCAAGCTAAACAGACAGGTTAAAAAAAATTCCCCATCACTTTCATTTTTAAATAGTAATAAAATAGTATTTGAATAAATATTTAGAGTGCCCAGGTAGCACATAAACAATGCAATTTAACGGTTTTCTTAAAGTAGGAACGTTTAACCTGTGCGGCCAGAGCGCTCTCCTTCCTTCTGTTCTGCGTAAACCTGAGCTGATCACCTACTTGTGCGTAATCAAATGTCAATAGGGGACAATATATAGCCATGATGTTCACTTTTGCCTCAGACCGACTTATTGCTGTTTTATGGTGTGGCTGAATCTGCGATCCGCTGTCATGCGGACCGGAATAACAAATGCTGCAGTGGACTTGTGGTCAGGTTCGGAGTCACTGGCTGTAGCTGACCCGACTCATCCCAGAAGCTAATATCTTAATTTGACCTTGAATGAAAAATAACCTCTTAAAAGTTTTTATCACGGACGGTGGAAGCAGAGTTCATTTCTGCCTTCAGTCTGACAGCGGGCCGCAGTCAAAGCAGCGTGTGCGCTTATTGAATCTGTGTGTGTGTGTGTGTGCGCGCGCGCGCGCGGCACAGCCGCTCAAGTCACCGCGTCTCGCGCTATTTAAACCAATGTTGTAAAATGACTTCTGCCCAGCCCAGATGTGCTCACTTGTGCACCCGTGAGCCGTGGTTCAGCCGGAACACGTCTGACCTGACAGACGCACTCTGAACTTCAGATCTTCAGCGCGCTGTTAATAGCCTGAATGGGAATCATTTCTTGTTATTTAGTTACATCCACAATGTTCTGTGTGTGAGGTTTAAAATGTCAGAACACCTGCATGAGACAGGTGTTAATTACAATCTGCCAGAATGACTCACCACCTTCAGATTTCTCCAACACCATTAAAAATGATCAAATACGGAACATATCGGCGTGCGCAGGCCAGAGTGCTGAAGCTCGGCGCATCATTATTATGAAGCTAGGGCACATGTGGAGGACGCGCGCGCGCAAAAATATACTTGTTTTCAATTACATTTATTGTGCCCACTTACTTTTTCTTTGGCCCACCCACAAATGAGTTTCTACGCTAATGGTGACATATGACAGACTTCTCTGAGCTCCGCAGCCATTACACTTTTCACCTCGCGCACCCCCTAGCGGCAGCTCGCGCACCCCCAGGGGTGCGCGCACCACACTTTGGGAATCCCTGTTTTAGATCATATATGTGTGTGTGTGTGTGTGTGGGGGGGGGGGGGGGGGGGGGGCGGGGGGGGGGGGTGTAGCTTTCCCAAATGACCATCCTGTCTTTATCCATAACTGTGCAAATTACTAATAAAATCCATCCTTTAGCATGTTTCTAATCCATCAGCAATTTACAGTAAAGTAGAAAAACTGAAGGTTGGTGCTCAGTGGGTCAGATCCAGCAGTCGTAAAGCCCAGTTTAACCCAGTTTAATGTGATGTCATGGGATTTGCATATTTATCACCAGTTTATAACCACACGATTTCTTTTTCATTTGAGACAACGATAAATATAGTATTTAACTTTTAAATGAAACAACTGAGTCATTTTTAGCAATTTTCTAAATCAAAACTCTAAAGATGTTTTCCAAGCTTCAGAAGGAAAGTTGGGCAGAAGTTTAGAAAAACATCAGGTGAGTAGAAGACACAAAGTGTAGGTTAAAATAGAGCAAAAATGCAAGGATGATGCAATCTGCTGAATCTGTAATTGTTTGTCTTTAACTGAATAAAATGGTATTTTTCTTACCTGCTGGTGACTTGATACTGGATACTATTGCTTTCCACTTCTCCACTCTCACACAGAATGACTACCGAAAGCTGTCCATGCAGTGTAAAGACTTTGTTGTGGGGGTGCTGGACCTTTGTCGAGACACAGAAGAAGTGGAGGCCATACTGAATGGAGACGTGGACCAGTGCCCACCTAGCCCGTACAACCGACCCTGCCTCAGTCGAGTCAAGCTGGCCATCAAATACGAAGTCAAAAAGGTAAGAAGACAGTCAGGACAAATAATCAGTCATGTAAGAAACATCTAACTTCACATGGGAGTATTTTGTCATTTTAAGTAAGTATTATGTTAGGTTCTCATTTAAAATTCAGTCTCTTTCCAGAATTTTCTGATGGCACCACCTAGTGACTGACAAGCATATCACACATAATCTCTCCATCCATTTTTTTAAGATGGTGACTTCATGTTTCTTGTTTATAAATGTGCTTTTGTAGCCGACAATCAGAAGTAAAACACGTTGTTTTACAAATATTATTCTCATGTCATGCTGTGTTCTCATATATTTATATTTTAAAGACTTTCTTCTCTGTGAAAAGTTAATCACGACCTCATCAGCCGAGGTATTCCTTAAATTTGAAGCAAGTAAGCGGTAGTTTAACGCATTGGTTAGTTCTGGTCGGCGCTCAGTTTCCTATTGCACAGAGTTCTGCGGAGGGCGGAGGGCGTGCTTAGCAAAAAAAAAAAAAAGGACGTATTGCTTACATTATATCAGTACATGATGAGATAATCACTTTTATGGATTTTATTAAAAATCACACGTACTTTCTGAAAGGGGAAAACTGCAAAGCTACATTAAGTAAAATAAATTGTTCAATGTTGTTTAACACAATGTTAAAAATCAGCAAAGACAAAATGGTCAAACTAAAAAAGGCAATTATTATTGAAATAATATAATTCAGCTCAGTGTCTAAAAATCTGTAATCAGCAGAAGTCTCATTAAAATAAAGGTTAGAAATCCTCATCAGTTTTTGTGACCTTCAAGTAGTACACTGTAAGAAACTGTCTGTAAGCAGCTGTGAACAAGCGGAGACTAACTTTGAATATCAACCACATCCAGCTTTGTCTGCGGATTCCTCCAGAAAAAAAACCTGAAGCTGAAAAATCAGTCGACTCCTCAGAGGAATACAGCTGAGTTTTCCACTCATGAGTTTATCTCAGATGAACAGAAAAAACACACGAGCTCTGAGTCCAGGTTTCATCTGTCCACCTCTCCTCTGGGATAAAAGGCTGGTGGGTTTTCTGTGACAAAGGTAAGGAAAGTCAAGGTTCAAAAGGCAACAGGTAGACCACTCTGGGGCCCTGTCCACACGTAGCCGGGGATCTGCCAAAACGTAGATATTTTTCTACGTTTTGGCCTGTCATCCACATGAAAACGGAGTTTTTTCACACGAAAACGGATCTTTTTAAAAACTCCGGCCAAAGTGAAGATCTGCGTTTTCTCCGTTTTGGGTGTCTGCGTGTGGACATACAAAACCGGAGTTTTAAGGTCCGCAACGTCACTTTCCGCGACAAAAAATGCTGACATCACGTGTGCGACCTGTGTTTACATTAGCCGACAGCATGGATGCCCTTAGAGCTGCACTCGCTTTATCAATTGTCCAAGCGCTTTTTGCTTGTTTGTTTTTGCAAGCTGGAATTACTGCTCCTTGCTGAAGACCACAGACAAAGGACGAGGTTAGGAAAGGGGGAAGTACTGCCGCCTACAGGTCTGGCATGTCCTTAACAACGTATTTATCCGGGTACGTGTGGACAGTTTTTTTTAAAATGAGGTGGTGTGGATGCAAGTTTTTTGAGGGGCGGATATTCGTTTAAAAAAAACGGCTACGTGTGGACTAGGCCTGAGACAGAGGGATGATCTGCAGATATGTGAGGGTATTACAGATGCAGAAGTATATAATCAAGAAGCATTACTTTATTTGTTTTAGATCTCGGCAAGACAAACATTCGACCTCCGTCTGCAAGACTTCTAGTAATGCTGAATTATGAAAGAGTGTGTGCTTGATTGCTCTGCCTGCAGTCCTGATGTCTTTTTCTAACAATAAAGTCTCTTGTACAGCATAAACCGTTGAGCTAGCCTGTCGAGCAGTGACAATGTTTTCAGTAAAAGCACATCAATTCCTCTTGCAAAACTGCAAATATCTTTATCCTCAAATCCTCCCTCCTAAAAATAGAGGAGGAGTTTTGCAGCGTGATAAAATAATCTCTCTGTATGAGATTATGAATGGAAACACACAAAATAAATATGTTTGTGTTTTAGTTACCTTTGAGTTCCAATAACCTGAGAGAAACTCCCATAATATAATAAAAAAGGTATTTTCACAAAATGTTACCTAGGAAATAAGCATAAAGTAAGCTCCTTAAAATTCAGCATGTAAATAATTTAGTCCCTTCAATCATTTAGGAATAAGTCTTTAGTGCATAAAGTTGTGTGTTTTGGCTCAGAAGGTCTAAAGTAAACACCTCCCAGGTCCCTGTGGAGGAGTTAATCCCCGCTGAGCAGAGGGGCTCTCTAAATGTCAAAACAAATCCCTTTTCCCTGTTTCCCCTCACAAAACAAGCTCCTGTTTGACCCCCAGTGTGCTGTGTGTTATTGAGTATTTGCATGTGTGTGTGTGTGTGTGTGTGTGTGTGTGTGTGTGTGCGTGTGTGTGTGTGTGTGTGTGTGTGTGTGTGTGTGTGTGTGTGTGTGTGGCAGCAGCTTTTATCCTTTCCAGGAGAGTGTGTTCAAAACCAGGCAGCTAAGTGCAGGAGTGAGAATAACATGGGAAGGGATGGGTTGCTATGGCAACCAGGTGGGGCCCGACCGTGTTAAGTGCATGTTGCAGGATACCAACAGGGTTGAGGTCATAGTTCAAAGGTTTACCACTCAGCTAACACTGTTCATTTGTTAATTTGTGATTTTATTATGTGTTTCGCGTATTTTTCCGTGATTGTGATGGGTGAGGTTTAAAGGTGCATTATGTAGAAATTAAGTAAAAAAGACATCCTGTGGTAAAATGTGGTTAATGCAACCACTTTAAACAACTCTGGAGCTTTTTGCCAGCTGTCATCAAATTACAATTGTCTGCGCTGCAGTGTCAGCTCGTAGGAGACACGGCACCCCCACACTCACTAGTGGTAAACCGTAGTTACGTCCTCCCTTCCTTTGTTTTGAAAGGAGAAAAACTGACAATCCAGCACCCAGCTGGATATGAAATATGTTTCAGTAGAAGCTTCCTGCCAAAATGACTGAAACAGACTCTTTTGGGATTTTCTCACTGTACAATTCTCACTATATCCATACAGACTGCACCTTTAATGATAAATGGACAGAAAAGCACTGCGGTAAAATTAAATTGCAAGTTTGACCAGTGAAAACACGAATGAGAACTTGGAGAATATATTTCAATGAATTTTCAAATAAATGCACATTTAAAAGTCTCGAAGCTTTTACACTATCCAAATCACTTAGAACAGGGATATTTTCCAAAGAATGATGAGTAGCAACATTTGTTTCTGTGGAAATGAGCGGACATTCGAGTCTTTTGTACTTCTGTCCAAAAAGCAAAGCTGGTGTATATTCATTGTATTTGTAGTGATTTTTGTGGATCAGGCTAAGATAAAATTCATGTTCAGAAGAAGATTTTCATTAAAACCGTCACAGTGAGCAACCATGGATTATTACTTTCTTAGGTCTCTACAGGTAACTTGTCAGTCTTTGAATATTTCCTAACTAGAAACATTATATTTGATGCCTGGTCTGTTAATTGGAGATTTCACCTTTTTAATTTCCAAATATCAGCCCTAAAGTAAAATTTCACCCTAAGTTAAAGCCAAATAGAGCTCCCATCTGTCTAGAAGTTTTGAATGATGACGTGAGAAATTCTTCTTGTTTGCTCTCTATCTAGGAATTTAAATTGGCTCCTTTCACTACTCTTTTGTAGCTCTTTTTAAGATTCAGACCAGTCTCTCCTTTTGCCTACGTCCCATAAACTGCAGCCAAGAAAGTCATAGAAATACTTTCATTGGATTTTTTAAATGCTTTTGTTAAAGAATAGGAGCTTTTTAAATGCCACAGCTGCTTACCAGTCACGATGATATAGCATCACTAAATCATGTAAACAACAGTTCTTGACTCAGAGATTTTTAAGAAAACATAGAAGAATCAGAAATGTACAGACTATATTTGATGTAGAAGTGATCATGGGATCATCCACACTCATCCACCACCTTTAGTGTCCTCACTGCCACGGTAACCAGGAGAAATCACTGCTATGTTTGTCTCCAGCCCTTTAGCAGCTGTTTGATCTGAAATCATTGAGTTTCTACAGAATCCTCCTTGAAATCTTCAGTTTGATCATTGTAGCATGCCGCTTTCCAGCTTGTACTCCTACCCATCTGTAATGGATCAAGCATGGTTGGAAATATCTAAGCAGCTCTATTTGGAGTCACTGATGCAGATGCACATTTCAGTTCAGCTAAACTAAAGAACCAAAGTGGCTTTTGCCTCTTATTTAGATAAAAGATGATGAAAGGAAGCATCCCTTCCTGCGCATTTTCACAGACTGTAAGAACAAGATTCTGTTTTAAAAACTTGCAAAAAGCTTTTCTACTCTTTTCTTCCCCTCTCTTTTCAGTTTGTAGCTCATCCCAACTGCCAGCAGCAGCTGCTGACGATCTGGTATGAAAACCTGCCCGGTCTGAGGCAGCAGTCCATTGGTGTGAAGTGCTGGACCGTCCTCGGGGTAACAGTAGGTCTGCCCTTCCTGGCCATCGCCTACTGGATAATGCCGTGTAGCAAGGTAGGAACACTCAACTGCTAGGGTGGAGGTGTGTGCTCTCTGGCAGTCTGCTTACAAAAGTGATATTTAGATTATTTTGTTGAAAGTCTTTTGCTCCACATTTAAGAAAATTACTTTATTAAAAAGTGTTTTTGTCAGTCCAGGTGGCAGCTGCAGTTTGTGCAGCTGGTATTGGTTACATGACTAATGAGGTGAGATTTGGAGACTGTGTGGTTTAACATGTTAAAGGCCCTTACTCAGATGTGTCGTTGTTGGGGTGCAGAAAGCTGATGCTATCTTTTTGTTTTCAGCACCACACCATTTGACCCGTGAATTTGGTTTCACACTCCAGTCCAATAGGTGGCGATGTTGCTCCTGTTTCTGAATGACTTTTCAATTTAAAACAAAACGTTTTCAGTTGTTTTGTACGATGCCCATCTGGTGAGATTGAGGGAAAACATTAGGATACTTAATGCGAGGGAACAAGTAATTAACTCGTGGCCACGATTTATAAATGTGTGAGGGGTGTGTTCCAGAGATCGACTTTCCTGAAAGGATCTCCTCTTAAAAAAAAACAAATTGTTAACTTTTAGCTAATATTGGGTATTATCATAATGTCACTTATATTTCTTTTAAAGAATAATAACCAGTTGTTTTATTTAATTATTCAAATCATCCAATAACGCAGGTGATGCATCTTTTTCTTTCAGCACCACAGGCAGCAATAGTAAATGAAGTGTGTGTCCTCCTCTCTTTTGTTGTTTGTAGTGACTGGCTTACTTTCATATGTTTTTGAATTACTTATTGGTGTATTAATTGTGTCACATGGGACTGTGCATCTGTGAACCAATAAACTGCACACATGTTCAGAGGTGCACCTGTCGGAGGAGTTCTGACAGAACACAGGCTCGTTCCAGCTGGGGTTAGCCAACATGCAGACTGATATGAAAAATGTTTCCTGTCTAAAACCCTTTTGGGTGCAAATAAATGTTCGTGTTAGATCTGGAAAAGACAGCGATCTCTCCCAGCTCACCATGAGACCATTGTTCCAGCACACTTGATTCAGTGGTTGTATCACCTGCAGCAGCTCAGGCTCACAGAAGCCTGTTAATCACCTGCTGATTGAAATCAGGTGTGTTGGAGGAGAGGGTTAAAACTAAAACACGCTTTAGTATTTTTTAGCGTTTTCCCTCTGGAGCTCCTCAGAGACACTGCTTTAACGTCATTGAACCAACAGCAGACAGAACCCACTGGTGGGATGAGCAATGTGAGAGAGCCCCACGGGTGTAGCAGCTGAGAAGTGCAATTGGGAGATGGACAAACCTCAGATGAGAATGACGTCCATATATTAAAAAAGGAAAAGTGTTGATAGAACTCGGTGTGTTCCATTCTTTATAAACACAGTCTATAAGATCTATCCTCAAATAAAACTAATTCCTTTCAGTCTCAATGAAAACAGGCTGAACACAGAGGATGGGCAGGGAGTGATGTCAAGCTGGACACATTGGCCCAATCTCAATACTCGCACTGTGCCCTGCAGTCTTCAGCAAAGTGCACTTGGAGAAAGTGCACAGTAGGGTTCGAGTGCGTAGTACACAAGTGTGCAAATAATTGCAGAATTGAGACAGGGAGCATTGCGTCATCGATCACAACGCATGCTGGTTGCCATGAAACTTTTTTTTCAAAGACCTTTATTAACAACTTTCAAACAAATAACAAAGCTATTTTTTTAATTAATTTTACTTCATTGCTGCTTTGTCTAAAACACTCAGAGCATCAACTAATCATCCTAAAATTAACTAATTTCATTAGAAAATACATATTTTCAGAAGAGAAACTTGAGCCTTTTCTCCTGCAGCAATGACTTGTGGGTAATATCCTTGCCCGAGGTCCGCATGGCTGCGGACTTGGGTGAAGTGCAGAATGGGGGCGTGGTCAACTTCTGCACTTGAGAATCGGGACACCCTACACACTTGCACCCATGGCTGGGAACGTGCAATTGAAGGGTGTGAGGGTGCAAGTGTGAGTATTGTGATTGGGCCATAATAAGTGTAGCGATAAATATAGATGTATATCTATATTTCAATTGTGGCGTGGATTTAGCTTGTTTAGTTGTTTATAATCTTATATTAATTAATCGAGGCACCACCCGTTTTCGGAACTGGACCATTGGATTTAATATCTATATCTTCGCAATGTAATCAGTCTCCAAGTTAACACCACACGTTAATCTAAAGAAGGAATTCTTGACAGAATGCCCCGATTATTCTCGAGAATTCCTAGAAATGATCAGGCATTATTTACTTTTTATGAGTTTATTACAAACATCAGTTAAGGCATGGACAAAAGGAACAAACACAGCTTATCGTTTCATGCATGGAATTAAGACAATTGTTAACCCAAAGCTTTATGGCAGTGATATGGAATAACTGATCTGTAATAAAGTGGAAATTTGGTGACACCAAGATTATAAGAAAATAGGGAATAATTTCTAAAAGGGGTCAAAACAATAGTGTGTGTGTGTGTGTGTGCGTGTGCGTGTGCGTGTGTGTGTGAGTGTGTGTGTGTGTGTGTGGTAGCAGAGAAAATAGGATAAATCTTCAGAGCTAAACATGAATTTGGATTTAAATAAAACACGCCAGAAACTCTGATAATCTGAACTCAATAATCGGGCTTAGCATAATAGTCAGCCAAATGAAACGATGCACAGACCTTTCTCCTCGTCGCCAGAAGGTGGCCAGAAGCTGAAAACGCCTGGGTCCTGGCTAGTGCCGAGGCCTTAGAAGCGTAGGATGTTTGGCCCCCAGTTGGTCGACTAAGTCTGTTGAGTTCAGGAGAATCTCGTTCCCCGGAAGTGGTTTGACTTTCAAGGTTCCGTCAGTTCAGCTGCACCAAAAATATGGAATTCAGATCGCTAGTCCAAATTATTCCAAACGAAGTCGAATAAGAAAAAAAAACTGTTCCAAATTCGTTTAACTCTTAATATGAAAACTCTTCTCAAGACCATGCAGACTTCCAGATTCACTTAGAAAGTCCAAACAAACAAACGGATTACTTACAAGTTTTACAGTAACTTTTGAGAGCTAATGGCTTAACAACTTTATGAGCGTCGGGTTATCTGTTGCAGGGCCCAGATGGAAAAGCCCAGCAGAGGTTCTCTTAAAGCATCTTTCTTCTTTGTTCTGCCTCCACAAGGTCCGAACTTCTGGATTTATAAACTTTCTTTTGACACACCCACATGTATTTCACTCATCAGCCACTTGATGGCACTGTGGCTTTTTCAAATAACCTCTACCTTTCCAACAATGAAAGATCCACGATTACAATTTACCAAAGTTGTTCCAGATGGGCATCAAAGTATTACTTTAAACATGAAATAACTAAATTTATGTCTTAAACTGGACAGTTTTATCATTAGCATGAATGTTAACTGGAGAAACAAAAATTGGCAGATGTTTAACATTAATGGAAAACACAAAACAAGCAGTTAAGTTTGTAACTGATAAGATTTTAAACATACTTGGAACGCCTGGAAATTTAATGGTGAGCAAACCTAAAGTCTTCTTTGATTGTAAATAAACAGAAAATACCAGGGTGTTGGTAAAAACTAAATCCTGGAACCCTCTAGAACATACACTGAGAAGGTTTAATGAGCATTCAAACTTTGGGGAAGAGTCAAGTTTTGGCAGGTTGAGATAGAACAGACCCCGTCCTGACATTGTCCTGCGTCTCCACTGGTGCAAAAGAGAAAGATACGTCACTTGGTAAAATTTATGTCCCTGGGGGAAAGGTAAGATGTTACGTCCCCTCCTGAAGGTCTAGGAGGATGAGGGGACTAACACAGGAAAATAGGTGTAGGAGTGTGTGTGTGTGTGTGGTAAAGGACGAGCAGGTGAGAGTAAAAAACAAAAGGGTTTATTAACAAAAGGTGTCCGTGTCTGAACAGCAAAATAAGGCTTAATAATAATGGTGAAGAATAAGGTGGAAACTGAAAACATAAGCAGACTTAACTGCTTATGAAAAAGGCTTTCTGCCAAACTTAAATCACAACCACCTAAACGAAAATATCCCCGGCTTATAAGTCTAATGGGGATAAAAGCTGCCAAAATAAGAAAACTGACGCCTTGTCAGATAAATCCTACAAAAGAGGATAACCAAGCCAAAACTCTATAACAAAACCCTTAGCAAGTACCCTTAAAATGTTTAGCCATAGCATGAGTTGTAAACCGAGCTCAGGAGAATTCCAGACCACCTCTGGACCTCTTTAGGAATAACCTTAAACAGTACCGGAAACGATTTAACATTAGCACAAAGTGTCTATGAGCTCGGGAGAATCACAGGCTAATCCTGGCTCTCCAGACTGTCTGCTTCACTCCTCTTTTAAAGTCTGTCGGCCGCTTGATAGCTGATGAAGATCAGCTGCTGTCTTCTCCGGCGTGCCTCGCTCCAAGGTCCTGAATTGGCACTGGGGCGCTGGAGAGTGTAAACAAGCAGGTTAAGGCGCTGTTCCTGGTGCTGAATCCTCGGCAGTGGGGACAAAAGGCTCAGGTTGAAATGAGAGGATGGACCGAGGGGACGAGGGTCGTCACATAAGAGTTAACCAGATGTGCTGGAAAGGGAATCTTGGAGTTTCATGTTTCCCCTTTTTCCTGCTAAGTGTGAGAGAGAAAAAAAAAACTTTGTGAAAATAGTTATGTTCTTCGTGTGAATTCCATTGAATGTAAAAATGTGGATTTCCACTACATAAGGAAAGAGAAAACTGGGCCAGTGGCAGCTGATCCATAGGGGGCGCTATAGTGCTGCCCCACCAGCTTCACAGGAAGAAGAAGAACAACATGAATCACAAAAAAATCATGAAAATGAAACTAAACTATCTCTACATCATACAGACTATAAGTGCTGTGTATAATCTGCATTTAAGTGTAGTTTTAAAATGTTATTTACACTTTTACACTGAATCATCTTGTGACTTATTTCCTGTTACTTTTGGCTGCAGCAATCTCTACCATAGACCTACGCTA